AGTACACCACAGAGATAAGAAAGCAGTGACTTTTTCATGCACATACATTATGACTCTACAGTCTTTGATATGATAAACTGCCAAGAATATATCATAGCTGTTTTACTCAAGTTGTTTTTTAATCCACAGAGATGACAACAGGAAACAAAGAGACTGTATGATTACTTTCCAATTCAGAGGATATTTCATTAAAATTCTTGCATATTTGGATAAATGAAGAAAAAGCAAAAATTATAAAAGTAAATTATTTGCTTATTCTGAGAGTAATATACCCGAGAAAAGCCAACATTTGTACAGCTGATATGGGGCACATTATATAATTATCAAAGACTGAAATACATTGGATCATGCAGCAAGATGAGAAAGCGTGGCAGGTAGCTGAAGGAGGGAGAAAGCAGGGTGACAGCACAGGAGAGATACCTTAAGGTAAGCCCTGCATGTCTTCTCTCGTTTTTGGAGCTTTTTAGTAAAAGAAAAGAAAATCAGAGGTTAGATTTTATCTGTCGAAATGAGGAAAAAAGAAATCCTCAAAACTTAGGCTTGTGTTCCTGAGCTCAAAGTTTATTATGCACAGCAGTCCTCTGGATTTTTGTGAATTTACGCTGACTGCCAAAACTGCACATTTACAGTTTATAGCTGCATTTTATTAAATATACTAATCCAAAGCACTGTGATAAAACTAGAGCCAAAATATGTGGTTAAAAGAAACAAAAGTGTCTACTTTTTAACCCTATAAAACCATATTAGCCACGGATTTTGGCTTAATAGGAATCCCATAGGCTTATTTTATAGTATGGTTCAAAGAGCTACCAAGTTTTTGTCATATTAGGAAAGATTAAGAGCACTAATAACACCATCCTCTTAGAGAGGGAAACCTGTCCTTCTCCCCAAACCTGCAATTGAAAACAGTATTACAGTGGCTAACATTCCTCTATGCGGTACAATTTTGCTGCCACCGTAAGAGTTGCATGTATTAGCGTCCAGAGTGTATGAGGTGTGTAACACATAATCTCTTCAAGTGCAGATAATGTGTTTGTAAGTGGGAGTACTGACCACGATCAGGCAATGTTTGCTACCAACTAAAATCTCCCTCAGAGATTTTAACTTTTTTTTTTTTTTTTTTTTTTTTTTTTTTTTTTTTGTCATGTTGCTCCTTTCTCAACTCTAATTCTCTCTTGGGAAATTAACCGAATTAGAAATTTTGTTTCTAAGTATATGTCAAGCATGGGGGGGGCAGGGGTTTGGCAGTCCAACGCTAGAAGAATGAAGAGCTGCCATATAAAATGTCTGACTAAATAACAGGAAATTCCTACCTACCTTGTTATAACTCCGTCCAGCGGAATCCTTTTCACTAGGTTTCAGTTCCTGCAGCTGTGCATCAAGAATGTCCACCAACTGCTCCATCAATCTCACCGAAGAACTCACATCTCCAGCAAACACTGGCCCTTTGGTATGTTTCGCCAGTTCATTGGCAAGACTAGCAGCGTTTTCTCCACTTCTGATCTGAAATGACAATTTATATTATCTCAGTATGACTTCTTGTTCTGTTTGTGGCTTCTTGTTCTTTTCCCGAGTATCTCTGTTGTGGTGAGAGAAATAGTTGCAAATATGTCAAAATCTGCAACTAATTGAGACCAGTAACTTTCTCTTCATTTCAGATGATTAAAGGTTCTTAAATCCTCAAGACACAAAAGAAATTCTTAACCAGACCTTGAAAAGAAATGAAAAGAAAAGAAAACCAGAAATCCTTTTTTTTTTTTTTTTTTTTTTTTGGGACAGAGAGAGACAGAGCATGAACGGGGGAGGGGCAGAGAGAGAGGGAGACACAGAATCGGAAACAGGCTCCAGGCTCTGAGCCATCAGCCCAGAGCCCGACGCGGGGCTCGAACTCACGGACCGCGAGATCGTGACCTGGCTGAAGTCGGACGCTTAACCGACTGCGCCACCCAGGCGCCCCCAGAAATCCCTTTTTAAAAAAATCTTTTAGATAGCTCTCTCTCAATTTCACTACCACCATTTTAAACAGCTGCTTAAAAATCTGATTTATTTATTCCAAAGATCCAGAAATTTAAACCAGAATGTAATCAGCATGATACTGGGAGGTGTTATCTACCACTTGCTTGCATTTCAGAAAGGTGAATGAGGAAGGAGAAACTAAAATGTCACTGCATTATACTGTAATATTAAAGTTACTAATGCCTTTTAAAGTCATTTTTATTGATTCTATTATAATCATCTGTGATATAAAGCATAAACATCTGCTTGCATTCTGTGGATTCAGTTGCAAACTTAATGATATTTGATTTATTAGGCCAATGGACTATTTGTCTTACAAACATCAAAAGAAACAGAACAAACTAAATATGAATGAAATTAAGCAAGTATGTATTCATTAAAAAGCTTAACATAGAAAACAGCATGCCCCAAAACATATGTAACTTTGAACAAATAGTTTACAGACAAAACTATGCATAATTTTTTAAATTTTTATACTGAACAAAGAGCAATGAAGCTGGTTTTAACATACAAAGCTAAATTATTTATGTTAGACGTTAAAGCCCTTAATCACCAATGTGTATCATATTAAAAGGTTCCAACCAACCTTCTGAGCCAGCTGATTTACCCAGTGTGAGGTACAGTTGCTAAGATCGGGGCCCTTAGGGTTCCATGTTCCAGTGGAAACCATGCAGAGATAGGAGGCAGTTCCTGCAACAGATGTAGAAAACAACAGTGAAATTGAAACCATTTTTCTGCAGGCATTCGGGAAATCAGCTAGGATGATACTACTCTGCATGTTAAATTTTGAATAAACGCTAATGGAAGTGGTTGACAATAACTGACAAAAAGTAGGGTATAATGCAGATTGTAAACAGTAAATATAAAGTCAGCATTGAAGTATCAGACATTTACAGCAAACAAACAAAAAGCCCTTGATTTTCTTGGGACTCATCCAAAATGATACTCCTAATGAGAAAGGCAGCTGTAAGAAGCCTCACTGGAGTCCATGGGCAAAAAATGCCACACTTGACCCAGGTCTTTAAAAGGGAGAGGTAATTCACAGCCCGACCTTCAATAACTTTTGCAGTTTATGAACCGTTAAGTTGTCTACAGATGTTTTGTTACCAAAGTTAACAAAAATAATAACAGAGGTAGTTATCATCAATGTCTCTCTTTCCTCGAAATCACCTCGGTGTAATTCAGAACCAACTTACTGAATTTAAAAATAGACGTTTGGCATTTTACAAGAAATACCTCTTGTTCCCTTGGGACACGGTCGTTCAACCATCATTCCCCTTTGTGTCTGAGGCCACTTTATCCCCCTCGCGTCTAATGCCTCGCAGAATCTCTCTGGCAGGGGAAAAATATTTGTTACAGGAGGAATTTTGGTTGTAGAAACTGCTGGAGGTGGTTTTGTCCCCTTGCTTCCTTCCTGTGATCCGGCTACGGTTGTGCTCATGGGGCCTTTCTGTGAAGCAGTGCTTGTGGTTGGTACTGTGGTTTTGAACAGCTCAGCTGAAGAAGTTATTGTCACAGCTGTGGTAGGCACTATGGAAAAAAGATGAGTATATTAACCTCAAACACACACTTGCACTCACATACAGGCACACACGGGAACATGTATAGGCACAAACACAACACAAAACCCCTCCCATCCAGTTACCCCAAGTCCAACGAAATGAGAATTAGTGAGAACGCTAGTAAGGTCGGAGAAAGAATAAATCCATTCATTTATGTCAATTTACTCATATTGTTGACTAAGTGATGGTCGTGGAGGCTCTACTATCGGTTTGTCTGTTCGACTCGAATTGTGTTAAGTCTGTATCTCAATGAAATATTTGAGAGTACAATTTAAGTATATTTTATGATGCATCATCCAACAGAAACCGAAGGTCGGTTTTAAATAAAGTTGCGGTGTCCACACCAAAGATATTATATGTTAAATGAAACAATATGGAAAAATTCTTTTTTATATAAATTCATACCCTATAAATAATCAAAGTATCAATAAAAACCTGACAATTATATATAATTAAGACAACAGAAAATTTAAAGTCACCCACTCTACATCTTGCAGGAAAATAAATACTGTGACATCTTTCCACCCAGCAGCCATTCTTGCTTGAGAGAATTTTGAGCATGCCTGATTAGATCCAAACAGAAGATAAGCTTGGCATGCTTGTGCTGTGTTAGTAAGGAAACATCTGAGGCTTCGTTAGGCATATTTACATTTGAAAATGTAGGCAGAAAAAGCAACTCTTCTGGTCACAGGTTACAATGCAATCTCTTATCAAGATAACAGGTTAGATCAAATCATGCCTAATTTGAAAACAACCCTACATTATCTTACCGACTTGAACAAAGAGTATAAAAGGAAGCACAGTTACACATTTAGAGTATAAACTTAAAAAGGAAATTATTTTAAAAGGTTGACTTCTAGCATTACTTTCCAACTGTTAAATCCACCAGGTTAAAAAATAATGGAGCTTAATGTTTCCTTCATTAACTACCATTTAATTAGTTTAAACCATGAAAATTCTGTCAGTAAAACTTTAATGCTATCATTTAAAATCTATTAGGGGGCGCCTTGGTGGCTCAGCTGGTTAAGCGTCCGACTTCGGCTCAGGGCCGGATCTCCGGGTCTGTGAGTTCGAGCCTGCCATCAGGCTCTGTGCCGACAGCTCAGAGCCTGGAGCTTGCTTCGGATTCTGTGTCTCCCTCTCCCTCTGCCCCTCCCCTACCTGTGCTCTGTCTCCCTCTGTCTCTCAAAAATAAAAAAAAATACATTAAATAAAATCTATTAGGTGATCACACTAAAGTTTTATCAACACTTATAGATTACTGTCTCTTAAAACCTTATACATATGATGCTGTAAATTTCAACGATTTGAGTACAGCAAATTAAAAATAACTATTTTTCAAAAATCTTACAAAAACATTAAGTTATTTTATGCTTTCTCTATAATGTGAGAAACAAACTAGAACTTTAGAACTTAGAAAACAAGTTTATATAATCACTAATATGTTTAATATTTTAAGCTGTGGTCCATAAATATTTATATAATCCTGCCACTACTGACACAGTTTCCTAAGTTCACCACAAAAAGTAGTGTGCATTTGCTTTAGTTCTTTAGCAGTGAGATATCTCTTGTTGTCCGTAAATGCATACTGCACACTTTCTACACCTTTTTTCCTTCTTTCGCAAGAGAAATTTCTTAATCATGTGTTTTATTTCCAGGGCATAATTTATTGACCATATGAGAGATGCCTGTGTACATTAGTCAAACAACATGTCTAGCCAGCTGCTGCAGAAACCTATTCAAACCTGTCTATCTTTTCCTGTAAAGCACTTGCCTGACATCTTGTTAAACCTCTGTAATTTTCTTTTGATTACAATGCAGCCAGGCTTTCAGTGCTTTCTCAATTAACATTTGTCAAAAGCATCACAATCTTTTACAGAAGTGTCAAATGACTGCCTCTGAATCAAATCTTAAAGAGTAGTGGGGAATCGGAGCAAAAGGAAAAGGGCAGAGCAAAATGGTTTAGTGCCACACCGTCTTATGTATCTCTTGACACCGCATTAAGTGGTACATATTTAATCACTGAAGTACGAATTAACAATACTGCAATTAGCGATCCGTTACCTAAACATCCAGGGAAGATTCATAAAAACTGAGTCAAGGTAGGTAATAAAATGACCTCTGGTAAATGCACAACATTTCATGCAACATGCAATGTGTTTTTGAGAAAAAAATGTCATACATTTTCACCTTTTCTTCATCAAAAGTTTAAAGGGAATCAACACATTCTTCAAAGATAAATCAATGAAATATTGGGACATTGTGAAAAACATGAAAGTAAACTTGTATGTGGCAAAATTAAACCCTTCCTAAAGACCATGAGGATCTCTGGAATTTTGCAAGGCTGAAGTTTAGCACCTTCAAGGAAAGCCATTTTTTCTAGTGACAAAGCCACAAATGCAGAGGTTGTTTCTAAAAATTAATATTTCTTCCAGAAGTGAAGACAGGTCCCAACAGGGCATCTGATAATGATAAAAGCCTACACTTATTCAGCATTTATGTACCAGATGCTATGCTAATCACCATTCATGGATCATCAGATCATCTTATTTAATCCTTGCCACAACCCCGTGAAGTAGGCACTATGATTATCTTCCTTTTACAGATGAGAAACTTGAGCCATGGAGAAGGTTAGGCAATTTGTTTAGGGTCACCTGGCTATATTCTTAAATGTTATGATCTTTCCTACATAAAAGATTTTCATAGACTCTCGAAAAGTATGGCACCCCCCCAAAACATTCTGCTCTTATTTTAGAGCATTTACCTGAGACTTTTCTGTGTAAATCTCTAAAACAAGACAACATGCGGGAAGATAACATAAAATACTAGAGCAAGAGATGATAAAAAGTTTCATAATGAAACTGACATGGCAAAAGATTCAAAACTCAAGAATACCCTAAAAATGGTAACAGAAAACACACGGCAACCCACAATAGAATTTTATCTCAAATCTAGTCTGATTTTACAAAGTTCTGTCCCAGAGTTATCAGGGTGTTATGTCAAACACTCAGATTAAATGACTTAGCATTCTGCCTACGCTTATCATTTGAGTATAGAGATGTAGGAACAGTGCTAAGAAAGTGCTAATAAACACACTTAAGAACTACCCATGAAAATTTCAACAAGCACATACAGAATGCTTCAATTTACTATGATGGTGTTTACTAACAACAGCATCCATTTATGCTACGGGTAGCACTTCCCTCATCCAGGTCCAAGAACCCACTCACTGTTCACTGAATAAACTCCAGTTATTACAGTGAGTCCATGGCCTGGAAAGGCAAAACTGTGTATTCATTAAATTTACTTTTATTCAATGTCTAAAAATAATGATCATCTTTTATTGAGCAGTCATGATCAGTGGAAAGAGGTTTCAAGAAATATGGATTCTTGAATCCACTTCCTAAATAAATCAACCTATTTCTGTTGATAAAATTTTCTTCTATTATTGAAGTGTCATACTTCAAAATTACTCCAAGACAAATATTCAGGAACTTTCAAAACCCAAGACATCGTGTTTTTTCAATAATATTTGAAATATCAAATTTGCAGACAAAGTAAATAGAAAGCAATTCAGATTAAGAAATATAAAAGAGTTTATAAAAAAATAACTGAAAAAGTTTTTCCTAAGCCCACTCTAGAGAGGGAGAAGGTGAAAAGAAAAACAGACTTAGTTTAGAGAAATGGAGTGAATGAACTATGCAGAGATCACATAAGGTTAAAAATTCAAAGAAAAAAAAAGATGTATTTGAAAACCATGATTAGGGTAAAGAAATAATATACTTGCCCTGTTAGGAATAAAAAGGCTTGGGTTTATAAATGGGGAAAAGTATTGAAGTTAATACACTATGCAACAGTCCACAACAAAAAATGAAAGGAGTGGTAATTTTACCATTTTATATACCAATGTATATACACCTTGGTAACACACATGGTTAAGCAAAGCCAGTACACAAGACTCTGAATTACAGCCAAACCAGTCAATCATTGCTTTATGACAGCTGAAGACCTGAATTCTCTGATTGCTTTGTCCTATCAGTTTTGTGGATCTTGCTTCTTAAAAGCTGACAGTAGCTTATTGATTTGACCTAAATTGATGGGCCAGAATAGTTCTACAAGGCCCCATCTCCATGCATATAGATATCAGCACACATCTTGGATGAGAGAGACAGGAGTCTCTAAAAGCATATGAAGATAAATTATAAGAAAGAGAGAAGAGAATATGGTTCCAACAGCAGCAAGAGAAATTTAGGTCATATAAAACTTTTTTTACCATTAAGGGCTTAATAAGGGGTCAATATGAATTCTCACTTTCCAGGAGTATTTAAGAATGGCTAAATATACTGGATAACAAAACACAGTTGTAGGAACACAACTACCAAATATGCCAAGTTTCTCATTTTCAAAGCAGATAACCGCTCTTTCCAAAAATATCTGAATTATCACAGACTTTTTCATCTGAAATGGATCAAATTATTTACCAGAAAATAAGCCACATGACATTATTATTCATCTTATATTGTGTGACCAGTGGACAGGGCAATGATTCTTTGTTGAATTGAACCTGTAACTCAATTTATTCACAACCCTTCAGTTGTTGCCTGACTATGAATTTGCATTTCTAAAAGTATTTATTTCTTTTTTTCCTAATAGAGGGGAAGAGATTTTTTTGCTGCCCAAAACAAATTTAACAGCTGTGAGAGTAATACAGGTTACAAAAAAGATTAACACAAGGATCAATACACAATGTCAAATTTTGTCAATTTCTGAAGTTTGCCTTTAACAAACCTATAGGGTAAAGAAGAAGGATGGTAACTAGACAGTTGAGATACAGGAAACATCCCAAATTACTGGTCCTATGGGAAAAAAGATATGTCTAAATTTAAAAGTAAATGATTCTATATTATCAATAAAAATTTTTATGCCTCAAAGATTTAATTGCTGAAAATTTAACAACAGACATTACCACTGTAATTTTAAGCTTAAAAATTTCAGACGTACATGAATTAGAGTAACAATATGCTATTATTCTCTTTTTAAGCAAAAATTATGTATTTTTGGCATACTAGAAAGACTCGAATGAGAATTTCAACTATAAAAAGCTGTGGCTTCTGTTCTTAGGTCCTGACCCTATTAGAATATTTAGAACTCAGTAATAACATATCTTAAAAATATGTATAACGTCGGGGCACCTGGGTGGCTCAGTCGGTTGGGCGACCGACTTCGGCTCGGGTCATGATCTCGCGGTCCGTGGGTTCGAGCCCTGCGTCGGGCTCTGTGCTGACAGCTCAGAGCCTGGAGCCTGTTTCGGATTCTGTGTCTCCCTCTCTCTGACCCTCCCCCATTCATGCTTTGTCTCTCTCTCTCTCTCAAAAATAAATAAACGTTAAAAAAAAATGTATACATACATGTAATTATGTTTAAGTCTGTGGATGTGTATGTATTGCTTTAACAGAAAAAGATACTAATTTCTTTTCCACCTTGTTGAAGAGACTGATTTAACCATGTCAAAGTTCCAAAGAACTTTCTGGTTCCTAAAATTTTGAAGTAACTCAGTAATTTGAACATTCCAATTAACTAGGTAAATTGAAATATTCAGCTTTAAAACACAAATGCTATTGTTCAAATAGAAAAGACATAATGCAAGCTTTATAGCAATATATGAATCAGTTACTTTATCATGAGTATGAGGTAATCTGGTTTTAATGAAATATTCATTTAATTTACCCTCAAAAATTGTTTTCCACAGAACTGAATATAATTGACAACTAAAGTGTATTTCCAAAGATTTTACACTACTTTCTAAAGTAATGATCCTCCATAAAGTACCTAAAGAGAACACAAATTGAAAACGTTAGCTTATCCATCTTCATAAATCATCACTTGGGATCATTTAATGCTTAGTCGATGTGTGACAGTTGAAGTCACAGAAATATTTACTTAAAACCATCACTAATTTATCAGGAAATAAAAATGTGTGATTCTACTAGGAAGATGTTGGATGACTCCCTTTCCTACCCAGATAGCAGACACCACAACTTCAGAACACTTATGCCTGACATTGTACATCAAGCCTGACAATTCTCCTGGGATTTCCTAACACACATTTCCCTTAACCACTGGCGCCAAGAAGTTAAAAGGTCTGCACATAGATTGTAATCAATTCAGAAGTCAGGTAGGAATAGGAAAAGAAAAAACAAAAAAAACACAAAGCTAACAGGTGCGTAGCTGGTATTACATTCTTAGCAATGCAAAACAAAACCGACTAATGATGTTACAATTTTTTGAAGTCAACATTTAAATGAAAAAATTCAAAGAAAGAAAATGGGCCAAAAAAAGGGTAAAATGTACACACTACGTGCCAACATGAAATACCACGACATCATCCTTTGAGCTTTAACCATGAAAAGGGGAAGAAAACGGACAGGAAAAAAAAAAACACAAAAAACCTCTGAGTCTTTTAAAAGTAAGCTATTCATAAAGACATGAGCATTAGCAAGCAAACGTTCTTACCTTGGGCAGGATCCGGTGGACCAAACTCCAGAGAATATCGTAAAATGAAGTTATTGTTCCACACGTAGAGTTGGTTATCTCTAGGATTGTAATCCACTGCAGCAATATACTGGTATTGGTTGGGGAAAGGAACATCTACATACTCTCCTCGGTTTAATCGGGTATTGTAAATGTAATCAATTGCATTCTTGCCTGTTTCACTCTCATTGTCTTGATAAACTGACCTGACCACATAGAGGACTCCGCAGATCATAAAAGCATTTGATGCAGCACGTTTGTCATACACAGTCTCCCACGTTGCTTCAAATCGAAGAGTATATGGATTTAGTTGGCTAATAACTATCATTCCATTGTTCTGTTCAGTGGCATAAATGACCCATAAGCCATTTTCATCAACTGCTAGGTCGATATCAGTCTTTCCTCCCCATCTATATGGTGAGGTATCATGATAGTTGGCATAGTTAATTATGGCCTCTCCACTCTTAATTCTAGTCCTCAAGTCAAATTTCACAATATTCCTTGTTCTCTCTTTGTTAAAGAAGACAGCACCATCATATACTACAAATCCAGTACCATCTACTCGATTTGGAAGTTTATATGTTGTTGTTTGGCGACTGTTTTGGAAATCTTCTAAAGAAGCATATTCTATTAAAGTATCGGTACGATAGGGAGTCCAGGGCATGAAATAAATTTTATCTGCAGCCTGAAGAGGGTCCTTGCACCAAGCACCTGCCTTTTGTTCAGCTTCATATATACATGGTGAATCCACAATTGCTTTCAAGGTCCCAGGGCACACAAAAACTAACAGTCACAGAGAAAAGACAACAATTAAGCCAAGTTAAAAAATTAAACAGGCAAACACAAGTTTTAATGATCATAAATCAAAAGAGAAAAAAATTTGTTTTATTAACATTTGATTTTTTTGTAATTTATACTTAATACAAGTACCACCTTTCCTTCTTCAAGTTACCATAATCAATGTACCAGCATACAAAGTGGCTGGGGTTTGTTTTCGTAAGGGCAAACCTAAGTTTAAGATCATTCACAGCTAAGTTGACAATGTGCACTTTTGCTATGTGTTTTCAAGCTTTTGATTTGGTAATTTATACTTTAAAACTTTTAAGCTTTGTGCATAGCAGTGTACAAAATATTTAGTCCCAGCTTTGTATCCTCCTTCCCCTAGCACACTTATAAACCCTCAAAAAGCAAAACACCAAAATAAAGCAAATAAAACAAAAACCCAATGTGAAGGTTTATTTAGAACTTTTATAAAGTTAGACTGAAAACAAAGGTTCTTCAATTGAAGAAACGTAAATATTCGGAAAATGTAATTAGGAACAGAGAAAAGTAAATACAAGAAAAGCAGAGATGAAACGACCAGGAGACCCTGGAACCATGGCATGCTATGGAGAGGGTTCTGGAAGCCAGGCAGGATGACACTTTAATAATAAAATATCCAAAGGTGTCAGAAAAAGAGATAAAGGGTGAAAAAGAAACACAGAATGGAGGAGCAGCTCCCCCTGGCCGACTTCAGAATTTTTACCCCATCACCAGATTTAGCAGTCATATAATTTCACTGTAAACAGTCGACTTCTTTATGAGGTGCATTTATGAGATCCTGCTGATTACTTTAATGTCAGGAGTATTGTGGGGAGAGGGAAGGGAGGAGGTAACATCCATAAGGCACATAACAGGGAGCTGGGGTTCAGAATGTATACGTTATTTACCTTTTTGCTCCACTTCTATTTTAAGCATCGGAAGAGAAACAAAAAAAAAGTGCAAGGAAAAAAGAAAAAAGATTAAAATAAATTGACTATTAGTCTAAGACTGAATTCGTAATAGATGCTAAATATAGGAAGAATAAGAGCTGTACTACTTTGGATAAAGAGAAACACACAACAGGAAAACCTAGCAGGAGAAAGATTCTAAAGTTACATAAAAGAACATGGATCAATGATTTTAGTAGATTAAGGAGGCAATACAAATATGTTGGCATGTTGTTTCACCTAGGGTACCTGAATAAATAATGAAACTCTTCACTAATGCATGGTATATATACTCTTGCCTTTCCAAGTCGCTCAGCATTTTTACCAAGTTTTACTGTATCTATGTATGCTACAGGCACAAATGCATGCAAAGGTATATCATCCCCATCTATCATATGAACTCATTATTAAATTGATAAAAACAGGTAAGCATAACAACAGGAAAATATATTTATAAAAATAACTCAATTGTGGAGCTTAGGTCTGATTTAAAGAATACTGATATGGTTATATTTTAACATTCTTTTCTAAGATATTTATGTAAGAAGAAATATATATAATTATGTATCTTAGTACATTTCATTTTTTTAATCTTTCATTTCTAGAAAAATCCATTTTAATTATAAGGAAAAAATGCCTCCTTTTTGGAATAAATATATCTCTCCTGCTACCCCAATAAGGATTTTTAAGGGTGGGGTAACATAGTACCTTTCTTCCCCATTAAGAATTAGTAAATTTACTTATTTAAATTTTTGTAGGTTTTATATTATAAAATTCTTATTAAATTCTCTATATCACATATCTCAAACTTGTAGTATTAAGTCTATTTTTTAAAAAAGTAAGCAAAATACATACAAGGAAAAAGCAAGCAGAGTAGGCAAGGAGAAAAAGGAAGAAAGAATTATGGTTAGCTTATTATGACATCGTCTACCATCATCAATTTACACAGAAAGCAAGCTAGCATGCAGCGACAATCATACCGAGCATTCAAAGCAAATACCTTGACTCCACAGACCCCATAAAAGGTAAATGCTTTCATAAAACAAACCTGATTAGTACAGTTATATGAGAAAAAAAAATCCTCCCTCCAAGAAGTCTAAAGAAACGGATTATACAGTTAGGAAGGTTGCTATGTAAGATTCTTCCTGATAAATAGAATTGTAATAATAACAACCCATAAAACACTATTTTAGACTGTATGTAGGCCTTGAAGTATGTTGCCTGAATTTCATAAAGTGACCAGATTAATGTCTGTGATTCTCCCTCTTTCCTTATTAAAATGCGTTAGGGTGTGCTAATACTCTATCTCCAAATTGATTATTCAAAGATACTGTAGTTGCACATTTCATTAAGATGTCTTAGCTTGATTAATTTTTAAAAATTATAATAATTCATCAAGATTAAATACTGACCTCCTGAAATACCTCAGGGGGAAATATCACACAAATATTTTTGCCATAGGAATAGCGTGTATAACCTTTTGCATTACGCTACCACCTTCCCATCTGACTTGGGTCTACTTAACCACTTTCAGGAAACATACTTGCTCTACCATGTGTAATTCTGACTATATCAGGTAAAAGTAAGTTCAGTGTTACTGATACGAAACAGTTCTTTTTTCATAAACCACTAGTTCTAAACTTACTCCTCAAGGAAGAGCAATCTTATACCTGCTTAGAATCAATAACGGAAGGGCGTCGTGGGAAAATGAGCATAAGAGAAATCATTAGTGTTGTGACTTCTCAGTCTATATTTATATACAGATCTGTATTCTTTTTTTGAGGAAAGGATGATTTTACTGAGTAAATCAAGTAAATGTAAAGGATGGGAATAATACATTTTAAAATATGTTACATATTTAGAACAGAACTTAAAACAAGTTCAATAAAGAATTTATAAAGTATATTTGTTTTCTATAAATTGAAAATGGCCAGGCTTTATCATGTAATACACTAAAATGACAGTGCATTTACTTAGCAAAATATTAAATAGGGAATTCTTCTTTTGTGATTTAACTGATATCACATATTAAAGAGAATAAAATGTAGATAAATTGTACATAATTTATAGTTCTGATGAAAACAGAAGTAACACCCAAATGTAAAAATGATCTAAAAACTTTTGATGATTGATGAGTCACATAAGATATGGGTATTGAAAACAAAAGTCTTTATATTATGATTTTTATGAAAACTCAAAGGACAGATAGATATCTGTCAAACAAGCCCAAACTCCATCAACCCAGAAGAATATAAAAATACAATAAAATTAATAAAACCAGCATTCTTCTTCACATGCCAAATGTATATTGCAACTTGTCTTACAGGACTGTATGAATTAATTCGTAACAATACATTTACTATTCTATAGACCAAACATAAATACATGACCCACTAACATCAGTGGAGGACAACTACATGGATATGCAAGACACAAAATTGACCCAAACAAACTTAAGCCTACATACTCTGTACCTGAAGTGACACACTATTTCATTTTGAATAATATCACACTTATTCACGAAAAATATTTAATCAATAGTAATGGTCATTCTAATGAAGAAAACATAGCTAAAATTATGGCATAACTTGTATAATTTGATGACAATTTGAAAAAGAGGGCACAAAAACTGAAGCCAAATCTTGACTGTAAAATATGAAAGTATAATAATTATTCTCTTTTATCCTACAAGATCCTTAAGACTTCCTTTAAACACACATATATTCAATTACTAACATTTCTGTTAGCGATAAAAGATACTCTGGATACACACATTTTTGACACGGGCATTATCTGAGCAGGTGTAAATGTCACATATTATATTACATGTGCCTGTCCATAATAAAGAGTAAAACAAACAATAGCATTTCTAATAAACTCTGTTAAGTAAATTCATTTTAAGATTTTCAAAAATCATGGGAAATTTTTGGACATTTTTTAAAAAGGAGGATATAGTTTCAGATGTATGAATTCCTAGAGAATTTGCTTTGGATAGAAACTGGCATAAAGCCAGGTGGTAAATGACATATAATAAATGTTATAGTGACAATTTTTATCAGCTATACAAAGTTTAAGAGGGGTATGCAAATGATACAACGCACAAAACACTATTAAAACAAGGGGAAAGGGAAAAATAAAAGTGTAAGAGATGGCTATGACAGAAGCATAAAGAAACAAAATGAGAGGAAAATGGGGAAAAGAGGTAAGGAAAAACACGATCCTACCTAAGATCAAAACAATCTAAAAAGATCTTTTGCATTAAATTTTAATATTAGTGAAAACCATGCAATTTATAGTGTGTCACAACTGTACAGTATATAGGAATTATAATTCTATTTGTTCACATGGCATAATTTGAAAAAAAAAAAGCCAGACTTATTTCTGATTCGTGCAAACATCTAGAAAGATAACAGCAAATTAATTACTGGTTTTTTTGTTTTTTTTTTTTTTAAGGACAAAAACTAAAAAGAACAAATACTTCTCTGAGTATAGCTATTTGCAAGTTTAGTGCACAATATACAACACTTCTGGAGAACTGAAAAAGTAAAATTTTGAAAGTTAGATGTTCCAGAAGATATCCACATTTTTCTTTCTTAAACAGAGCAAGAAATAACTTAAGAGTCTGAAAATAATATTTGCTTAACACTGTTCTTGGTCTATAGACTAGGTTACAGGAACTGGCTCCAGAAAGACAATTCTTGGCAGCTCTGACTGATTCCACTGTTTGGGAATGGATGCTGTATTCCTTTTCTAATTTGAGGACAGAAACCATGATAAATTCAAATGAAAGCAACTTTACGGAACAAAATTTTGGTTAGCTCAAAAGAATACAGTATTCCTCTAGTGGCACAGGAGAATGATTATGTAAGCCACCAACACTACACATAAGAGAAATGGTATAAAGATCAGTGCACTCAGTAGGCTTCCAATCCTACAAATGGTATAGAAAATACTGAAAACATAAAAAGCATCCATTTCACAGTAACACAGGAACACAGAGCAGGGATGAAAAGAAAAGATAATCTGTGTTTGGCCTTTAACTGATACCCACAAAAAGCCAATTTATCAAAACTGTGGGCAGAGGAAAAAGAGACCGCGCCTTCACAGGATGTGTAAGAAAGTATTACTACCATATTGGACATCCTATATCCATATGAATTCAGCCCTCTGGTTTTAGAAATATTGATAGTTTGGACATATAAATCTGTCAGAACTAGTGATCTAGTTGTTGAGGTTCTGGAAAAAGCAATTTCCTTATTTAGTTTAAACCTTGTTTTTTAAGGAGAGCAGTGTATAAAACTATCGCAAATCAATAAAACTGCTGTTAAAGAACTCTCAATTCAAATGCCTATGAATTAAGGTGACAGACACCTCTTGTTTTCCAGTAACGAAGACAAGAACACTATCAAACAAACTAGCCTGTGAAAATTAGGTAGTATACTGAAACTTTTAGTTGTCTAAAGTGCTTTTTTCTATTGAAAGTAAAGAATACAATTTATCAGTATGAATTCTGAAATTAGGAGGAGAACTACACAGAATTAGAGCATTAGCTAAAGACTACTTATGAAATTTCCAACTAAATTTTAAAGGTCCCTCTACAGGATCTAATGGATGTTGTCAAATTAAAAATGGAAGTATAATCAAGGCTTTGTAATGTCTATTTTATTTCCTGTTAAGATTTCAACACAATCTGGTAAAGAAATGCTCCTATAAGGACAAGGAAACAAAACAGGAAAGCACTTGCCTCAGTTACTACAATGGTAGCTTTTACCAGGCACTAAAGTTACCACGACAGCAGGTAGCCATTCAAGTAGCTCACGATTAAAACCAAAGTCAATTCCTTCTTTAGAAAACTGTGAGCCAAACCAATTTGTCAGCAACTGGTATTGGGCAAAAGTACAGATTTCTATCTGCCCTACTGAATAGCTAATTCAAGTTTGTTTTCTGGAAAAACACTAGTCTTAAAAGCCAAACACTTAAGAACACAGACAGACACTTGGCCAGCATCACACTATGGCTTCCTTCCACACTTCATGAAGCTAATTGGAGGCCCGAGTCTGTTAGTGCTCTGCATGCATAATGGTTTTGTAGGCCATAAACATATGCTTCTTTCACATGTGTAGTCTTTCAGCATCAACGAGGAATGCTAGAGAAAGTGAAAACTACAAACTTCATACTTACTGTAAGGGACACATTCATACTGGACTTCAAGATATTTGTATGTTCCAGGACATGGATCAGGAAATACATCTGACCCAGTAACTACTATACACTGTGTTCTATTGTTGCACCTGGAAAACAAAACAAATCAAATTTGTGTAACGTAATCACTGACTTGTTTGTTTTTAATAAAGAAATCTAATAAAGAACTGATCCACATTTTCTTTAAGCAACTAGTACCATAAAACAACAAAAAAAAAAATCAACTGATACTAGGTTGCTCTACATTATTTTAAATAAAGAGCTATAGGGGCGCCTGGGTGGCGCAGTCGGTTAAGCGTCCGACTTCAGCCAGGTCACGATCTCGCGGTCCATGAGTTCGAGCCCCGCGTCAGGCTCTGGGCTGATGGCTCGGAGCCTGGAGCCTGTTTCCGATTCTGTGTCTCCCTCTCTCTCTGCCCCTCCCCCGTTCATGCTCTGTCTCTCTCTGTCCCAAAAAAAAAAAAAAAAAAAAAAAAAAAAAAAAAAAAGTTGAAAAAAAAATAAAGAGCTATAAAAATCCTATTTTTCTTTTTGTTGTAATATTTCTATACCATGGGCCACACTAAATTTTAACTCAAAGTAAAAAGGAAGCAACTAACAGTTCTCTATTATTCTATTACACATTTAATTGGAATTTTTAGCATATTAAACATATACTAAAAAAAAACTTAACAGTACAGTTGTTGTATTTAAAAATTAAAATAACAATTAAAAATGATACCATGAACAGAAACAGAGTCATAAACTGAATAGCTTGAAAGTAAGTTTTGAGAACATATTGAAACAAAGAAGGAGCCAGGTTTTTAAGTTTATTCTCTCAATCGGTTTTGTGATAAGTTTTGTATTCCAGGCACTTTCTACATTCTTCCATACCAGATCCCAAGTTCATAGAGCACACCTTCCATGCTCTGGCTTGATATATGACAGGGCACATTTTAAGCAGTTAGCACAGTGCCTGGCACATACTGTGTCTAAGACTGTTGTGACTCTTGTTTCGTTCACAGACCACAATGCGCTCACACTAAATATGGCATCACCATGAACCTAGATTCTTCTAAATTAATGCTCTCTGAAATGAAACATGGAAGAGAATGGCACTAACATGATGTCTATCATGCCCTATTTATTACTATTGGAAGTATTCTATTTCTGTGTTGTGAATTCATGCAGAGTATTAGGATTAAGGTAGAATTTCAGGCAAGATGATATTCATTTGAGTTCTATAAATTTCTCAAAATGTTCTTTTTATAAGCTTTATAAAGGCAGGAACTATTCCCCTTTATAATTTGACTTGATTGCAACTCAACACAATGTAATGTTTGCATGGTTTTATTATATTTTCTGATAGTACCTAAATTAAGAAGGCCAAGCAAGCAGAACAAGAGCATTATAACAAAATTTATTCAACAATTTGAATATCAGATATTCTACAGTGCATAAAATAACCAGACTATAAAATGGCAAGTAAAGAATGAAAAAGCGGCTCAGTTGTTTTGTTTGTTTGTTTTTTTGTTAGCATGACAACTAACTAAAGGACAGCAGAAGAAGAACTGCATTAAAAGGGATAGGTATGTTAAGTCAGGCACCTTAAGTCAGAGCCATCTCAACTCAAACCAGGTGGATTCATCCTGAAGAGCAGCAAGACCTGAAAACTTCTACAGGACCAAACAGGTACATTTATAGGTCAAGGTATATACAATAAACTTCAAACAAAAGTCTTAAATATTACATAAACTATAATATTACTTGTACAGATACAAATGATAACTTTTACCACAATTAATCTAGAATACTGTATGCCATATATTTTTTAAACTATACCATATAAAATAATTTTCAAAAGCGTGGACAATGTAAGTGGTGCAGTGTCACATTCTTAGGCAACATCATGTTTTACTCTTGTTATCTGTATTTCTCTTCAATTGGTTCAGTCATTTGAAGAAATGTGCCAATGATTCTCCACTAGTGTAAATGAATTATTTTAACATGAATCACAGAACCAATTATATATCTTAAAATTTTAAACAGCAGATGAATTTTAGATTCCTCAATAGATCAGTATCTAATAGTTCAACTAATGGTTCATTTTCCTCTTTCTTAGATTTTACAACAATCAAGTTCACCACTTTGTTCAAGATCAAGTTTCTTGATCTTCCAGGATCAAGAGACTCAACCACTACCTGTCCTTATCAAAAACTAAAGTGCTTTTATTTCCTTCCTTATATTTATTCATACCTGCAAGGACCCCCCTTTATCTCATTCCCACACCTTTAAGAAACAAACAAATCCAAACCCCTATGAGTTAGACTTCTCTTTTCTATATTCCCTTGGTATACATTTTATAGCCACTCAACAAAATCCTGCCATGTTTTTGGGTAAACATGGTTAAAGTAAGGGGACTGTACTCAAGGATGAAATGGACCAAGAGTGTGAAGGATTTTGGACCAAGTTTGTGAAGGAGGATATAGCTCAAAGGGTTTGGAAATTTATCTCATTTTTCAAAAATAAAGATGACATTGATAATTATCCATTTTTCCCCAGATGATCAGATAAGTATGACTGCAATATGAAACCAAAAATATCTTTATTTCATATTTTTCAATGTCACAGGATGTTTGCAAGAAGTATATAAAGGACAAGTATTTCTGCTTCCATTACATTTTGTTTAAAAGAGACCAACACCATACAATGAAAAATAATTGCTCATATTTACTTTTTCAGATCTTTTTGTGCATTAGTTACCTGACCACAGCTATAAGTTCAAATTAATGTCAAAAGCAATTACCATAATTTATATCAACCACATTTTAATTTCTTTTAATAATCACATTGTACAAAAACACTTACTTTAAGACAGAAAAAAGTGTTATAGAGCCATATTTGTAAGTAAAATTGACGGTAAGGAGGCTTACTGGAGTTCTTGCAAATAAAATTATATACATTTATAAAATTCATAGTTTCCCATGATGTCAAAAATGTTTCTTTTATACATCAGGAGTACTAGAAATTAATCTTGAGAAAAAGTGAAATTTAGGGGCTAAAACAGTAAAGTGTTAGCAAGAAGAGGAAAACAACTGTAAGAAGTATAAAACTATCAGATTTGCATACCGGTATCTTGCCTCATGGCAAAAAAAAAAATACTGAAGCTTTCAGAGGACCAAATGATGGAAATAAAATACCACTATGTACATTCATTTGTGAATGAAGCAAGAGCCTTAAGTTTCCAAATTGAGTAAGTTTGGGGACACAAGAGGAAAGAAAATTCCAATGTGAGCTGTTAGGACTCAGAAAAATCTGAAAACTCCTTAACCAGTATATTGTTAGTAAGATTGTAAAACTGTAAACTGCTATCATTTAAGAAGATAGGGAAAGAGAAAGCAATTAGCCACAGAAGCAAAGTAAATTCCCACCAACTGCTCTGCTTCAAGTTTTCATTCTAATGAAAATGAAAAGGTACAACTAAGCCAAGAAAAGAAAAGGCATTCAGTTGCTTGTATTCTCAGTCCTGGGCATAGTCCCTGCATCATGTTCTCCTTCTTCCCCTACGGAAGAAGACTTATTGGTAAAGGTATGGCTGTATTAACCATCACATTATCAGCATATTTTGGTAATACTATGTGGATTCATTATGTTAAAAATGACTTTTCTTACATGTGGAGCGTAAAAATTAAGTATGAATGAGAATAAGGCAGAAGAATAAAGTTTTTTTTTAAATAGGTGGATTTTTAGTTACGACTTGAATACAATCACTGTCATAAAAAATTAATGCTACATATATTTTAAACACTTCAGATTTAAATAACTGATCTTATTTTACTTTATTTTATTTTGTATTTGTAAAGATGCACAGATGAATTAAAACAGTCAAAGCACTGACTTTCAAAATGTGGTCCTTAGACCAGGAGCACCAGCATCAACTGGGAACTTGTTAGAAAAACACGCTCAGGTCCCACCCAAGATCAACAGACTAGGAAACTCCAGAGGCAAATAACTAACCAGCACTCTGTTTTTTAACTAGATCTGCAAATGATTCTGGCATATGAGAACCACTGTGTTAAGACAAGTCAGACTTTGAATAAATATATTTGGAAACTCATGCTTTTTGCTCTATAAATCTTATTAAATTACAAATGAAACAAAATCATTAAGCTATGAGTATAATTTAAGCAGCAAGTTCTTAATAGAGTTTACAGTGTTAAACATGTCTTCTTCTCTTGCTAATTTTAATCAAAAGAATCAAGGGTTTTAGCAGCTGCAATTTTGAGCAAGCAGGCTAGTTATTTATCCATAAATTCCTAACATGGAGGGTCTATATTAGTATAATTTCTAAGTACAGGTATACATGACCTGTACACCCATTTTTAACAACTAAAGGCAAGTATAATCTTTTCCTAATATTTGCTAGCCAATGAAAATTTCTAACACTAAATAAATCTGGAAATAAAATTTTTGACAATCTATGAAAAGACACTATGTTTCCTGGAAGGATGTCATTAAGAATGACAACAACAAAAAGATCCACTGTAATCACTGTAAATTTTTCTATATATAACCTTCGACTTCTTTCTCAAAATAAATTTTAATACGTGACTAAACTACAGGAAGACAATATATCATTTTTAGAACTAAAGGGGCATAAAAGCAGCCCTTGCAAATAATAACACCACACAGTAAATAAATGTGGAGGTACAGAATAAGCACTCTGTCTCAAATTCTAAGCATTTAGTCATTTTTAATATTCTAAGCATACTTCCAAAAATTTCCAGAAGTTGGCATGTATAGACAAAAAGCTAATTTCACTGATGTGAAAAACATCAGTGTTTTAAAACCTCTATCAAAATTTTCACCTATATTAATATTTCTACACATTATTTTAGATTGCAACTTTCTATCATATTGAATATTTTTTCCTCTAATTTTCTTACAAATGTAAAAAGCAAAGTACAACATTCATCCTGAGAACTCCATGTTAACTAAAATAAATCCAGTAATAAATGCTTTATAACATTACCAAATTCAAACACCAGAATAAAAGTATTTTCTTACATTAATATTCATAAAACTTATATTTTAATCATAAACTCATCAT